CATCTGTCATGTTAAGAAATGAAAGCAAATAAAAAGCGCCTCTCGTGTTTGTTCGCATACTAAAAATTTCAATTAACGCGTGTATATATTTTGATTATATTTTTAAAATTTACATTTTTTAACTGTAAAGTAATATATTACATTTAAATGGAATATATTACATAACAATTAGGTATGTCATTTACAGGTTTGTTTTCTAACACTTTTTAAATAAAACAAATTATAAAATTTCAATATACAGGGTCCGGCAATAGTGCGTCGGGCATCTGTAGCTCCTAGAATAAAAAACCTGGGCTTTGGAAAACAATAGAAATTGCATTAAAATTAAAAAAGTTAAGCGCGACCCCTTGTGTCAAAATTAGGTGATTAAATTTTCGCAATTTTTACATCATTTGATGACCGGTGGCGCCTCTAGTGTTTGTTTGCACGATTAGTCTTTTACTCCCTTTTATGGCCATTAAAGAAAAAATTCTAAAGGGGGATGTTTTGTGAAGCAATACTGCAAGAAAATATAAAATACAGGGTGTCCCAGAAATAAGTGCAAGTATTTTAAGTGGTGGTAGATCTCGATAAAAGAAACATATTTTCTCTTTATCGTTTTTCAAATTTTTAAAGTCCAAAATAACGGAGTTATTTTACTTTAAAAATTTCCAAAAAAAATGATTTTTTTTAAATTTTGAGAACCACTGGATCTTTTCTGGATTTTCTTTCTTGTAAATTTAATCTAATACCGATATTATCAAGAAATTATATTTTTTAATTAAAAACTAAAAAAATTTCCAAAAAATTTCCTTTTTTCAAGAAATTCCGAATTTTCTAGAAGAATTTTTTTTTTCGCGAAAAAAAACCTCATTGGCGTGTTTCTGGGACACAGTTTAAAACGAATTTTTATTTGTTACAAATTTAAATATTAAAAATTTGGTAATAGTTTCGACGCCTTTTATGACGCGCACTTCAACTTTAAAAAGGAAATAAATGCTTTAACTATATATATATATTGATAGATATTGTTTATTTAGGGCGCCGCAGTTCGAGCTTTAGCATTAAGCGTCATGTACCCTACCTTACGAGAGGATCCAGGTTTTGTAGAAGACACCGCAGAATCCATCCTATACTCCTTAAGAGACTTAAGTAACATAACCCTACGTGTAAAGGCTGCGTGGTCTCTGGGAAACTTCAGTGACGCTTTGGTTCTAAATGTTCAAACGCCGGACTCTTACGAGCATAGACTTCCTGACAAGGTTTTGTATAGTTTATTTGAAGAAGGCATAAAATGTTCCAAGAACGGTGATAAAATGAAGATGAATATAGTGAGGGCTTTGGGCAATTTTATGCTGCTCGTGGACGAACGCTTGCTGGAGCAGACTCACTTCAAAACGGTTTGTCAAGAGGTTTTCGGTGTGTTGGTCAACGCCAGTACTACCAGTGGAAATATGAAGGTTTGTATACTTATTATACCGGGTGCGTTTCAAAAGTGGTTCACCCCTATAACTTTTTTATTTTTTTTAGATAAAAAATCGAGATTTGGTAAATTAGGAGTGATTAATGTATTCAATTGTTTTTGGTAACTTCCTATTTCACCGGAAATGACTACAACTTTTGATTTTTAAATTGTACCCTCGGTATGTTTTCACTTTATTCGATAAAAAATGGCACTCTGAATAGAATGACATATCATATGTATGTCAACTTTTGACACTTTCGCTTAATAAAATCGTATTTTAAATTTCAATCTAGAGACTAATTTTTAATCAAGAAGTCTTGGAAAAATAGGTTTGATCGTATAACGTTCTTCGTGTCTTGTCCTGGCCAATTAAAAGATGCCCAAATCGTATTTTTAATCATATCTCAATTTTTTAAACGGAACAAGGGTGGTTCATTAGCATATTTGGAAAAGCTTTTTGCGAATAATTTGGTACCACACAATTGATATTTTGAGTGTCAAATTTTCGTTATTAACCGCATATTACAATTCCAAATAACCCAAGCAGCATTTGGACGTCGGGACAACGTTGTGTCACGCGACCAAACGTCGGGGGCGCAACGTCGGCACAACCTCGTGCCAACCTAATAGGTCTGCACTAGTTTGGAGAATAATTTTTGGGTCGAAACAACGTTGGATACCGACGTTGGCTAGAAGCCTAATTTAGTACAAACTGCAACGTTGTTTAAAATCCTAATTCACAGAAATACAAAACTAATATGGCGTCTAAGTCGCGTTTTATCCTAAATTGGGATAATTATAGTAAAAATATTATATTTATAATTTAGTTAGAGACATATGTCAGATGGCAGTGAAGGAAAACAAAACAAAAGTATTTAAGTGTGGAGGATGTTTGAAGATCATAATTATTGAAACACTTTAACCGACTCTGTAACTCGTTACCCAAGGTAAAAAGTTAAACGCAAACAACTTTATTGATAAATGTATTGTTTCTACTTTAAAAAATACTAATGGGCCTTGAAATTAAAGAAGTTTTAAAAATTTTCTTGAATTTTTTTTTTAGTAAAATGAGAATAATTTATTCGCATTCGAAAAAATTGTTTCCGCGTATTTTTTAGGGTCAAATATTTCAAGTTAATGTATTCAAAAAGCAGGAATTGCTATTTTAAGAACGAAACATTTTCTTATTTAACAACATGGCGGCTTTAACTTTGTTGTTTTGGAGATTAAGATGGAGTAGTTCGAGTAGTCGCA